CAGCTGGTGATATCCTCAAGACCACATGCCAAATAAAGCAGTCGAATGGTAATTAGTTTCAGTAATAGTTCAGCTGGAGATATCTTCAGGACCACATGCCAAATAAAGCAGTCCCACTTATAACGACTTTTGCCTCTCTTGAAAAGTGAACAAAGCCATGCATGTGTGTTTAGAGGAATACGTAAAGCTTGGAAATAAAGTGAGAAATAGTACCTTAGTCAATAGTACCTTAGTACCTTAGAAATAGTCAATCCGATTAAAATAATATCGGTAGTAAGATATATATTCCAATTTTTTTTACAAAAAAATCAGAGTTTAAGAAGGACTATTTCGCAGCCTATTGTGTTTGTAGAGGTGTGTTTAGCTTTAACTTAGATTTATGGTAATACAATTGTTATTAAATACAAAAGCATTTGTTCTGGAATCTGGAGTTTCGTTTATTGTACCTTTAGTAAATAAATATAGTCAATGATGCATTCTGTAAGTGTATTAACTTGATATTTTGTATATAACAAACACTTGTTAGTGTTGAATTCAATCTTGTACGATTTATGATATTTCTCATACTCCACGACGTATCGTAATCATTCTGAAGATGAAGGGAAAAGTTTACGTAGATAAGAAAGGTTTCAATATTAAAATACGAAAGTGAAAGTGACTGTACATATGCTATCTTAGCCTTAATTAGTTTCTCCTTTTTAAGAATGTACAGAAACTAACATATAAAAATTCAAGGAAAATTTATTTTAGTTTTTCCTACTTGTAAAGATTACATTTGATAACAGCTAGACATAGTTCCTTAACGTGGGCTTAAACCACATTATCACATTCAAAGAACATGTGAATGTAATAGTGAACCAACCATTATTGAAGAGAACATATGAAATGTATAAAATGTCTCACTGTCTCGTCCAAATCGGCATTACTTCCTGCGAAATATTTTTACAATATATCCCACAAACACCTATATCAATGTTAGTAATGTTCACATTCGTATCCAGTTTAATTAAAAGCTGAATTCAGAAGTCGGTCTAAGAATTTTATTTTCTAATGTCAATTTAATGAAAATAATAGTAACATCAATGTTTCAGGAATCATTATGCAGAAATATTTCTATATTTCACTTGACTGCGCAAACTTATTTTGTGTCAGATTTTCAATGTGTATTTTTTCATATTGTTTACTTTTAAATAACATCTTCAATGGTATCTTACTTACTAGCTTTCGATTTCATTTAAATATCTCACAAAAGCCAGAAATTTAGAACTAATTTACAGCTGCTAAAATGAAAAAGATGTATTATAAATCAAGTGTTTATACTAGATTATGCTGTTAACATTTCTAATGTAGCTTCAGTGGCGTAGCAAGGGTTCTCAGCACCCGGGGCAAAGACACTTTTGGCGCCCCCACCTCTGAAATGTTTTGATTATTTGTTTTGTGACTCATTACCCACTTAATGACAATAACATAAAGGATTAATTCCCGCCTTACACAGGCCTAAAATAAAGCCACAATATAACATCTCACGATATCACAACTGTAAACCTGGAACTAATGAAGTATAGCGCACTAGGTGTACTTACATAATTTGTAAACCATTTTGATATTTATGTCATCCAGTATTGTTCAAAGTCACATAACATGCAGAATAAATTTCTGTTATATCCCTAGTTTGAAGTATTAT